ACACGCAGTGGATACATGGAAAAACAAGAACACAGCGATCATGCGGCATTACCGTTGGGGCAAAGCGCAGCGGTGCTCTTCTTTGCGGCCCTGCCCTGCCCTGCCCTGCCCTGCCGCCGGGTTTCCGCCGCGCGTGCCGGTGGGCGGGGCGCTCACGCAAGAATACCGACGGCGTCCTCCGCAAACACGTCGGCCACGCCAAACTCGGCCATGAAGCGCAGCCGCTGCCGCCCCACCGCGGCGAAGTCCGGCGGCTCGCAGTGCGGCGTCGTCGAGGACAGGAGGAAGACACCGTCGGGCACGTCGTCCAGCGCGCCGAGGCCCTCCAGCTTCTCCCACGCCCCGCGCCGCACCAAAACGGGCAGGGGGGCGGACGCACGCCGCCGCAAGCACAACGCCACGTACGCCGCGAGGGAGACGTCGCAGGCGCCCTCCGCCGCGGGGGTCGGCCGCAGGCCAAAATACGCCGTCGCCCGCGCCGCCGCCGCCTCCCGGCGCACGCGCAGCTCCCCCTCCCGCTCCAGCGGGCACGTCCAGCGGAAGCCCGACCCCACCAGCGCGTGGCGGAGCGCCGCGAGCGGGTAGTGGCGGGTCCCGGGCTGCACGGTGGCGGGCCAGCAGCCGCCGCCGCCCACGTCGACGACGAGCCCCCAGCTGGCGGGGCAGGCGTACAGCTCGCCGGCGCAGCCCCCCGCCCAGTGCCGCAACACCGTGATGAGGCTCCAGAAGCAGACGCCGTCCTCGCGCAGACGGTGCGCAAGCCGCACTGGGGCCGCGCCCGCCTCCTCCGCGCGCCCTCCGCCGAGCACCTCCGACAGCCGGAAGGACGGCCTCAGAACGCAGCGCCCTCTACGGGGAGGGGCCGTCGCCGCGCCCCCGCCCGCCGGCTCCTCCGCGGCAAACAACGCACCCAACACGGCGGCCAGAATGGGCGGCGTGTGCGCCCGGCTCCGCACGCCCCCCACCACAAACCACTCCGCCACCAGCAGAGGGGCGCCCGGGTCGGCAGACGCGACGGCGCCTGTTGCTGTCGTCTGCGCGAGGCGGCGTAGTCGCTCCACGAGGGCCGTCGCCGCGCCCACCGCGTCGCCCTCAGCGGCCGCCCCGTCGTCGTCGTCGTCGGCGCCGCGCAGGACCGCATGGAACCACGCGGGCAGCGCGGCCTCCCAGAGCATCTCGCACAGCGCCTCTGCAACGCCCCGCGCGCCGTCAAAGTGGCCCATGGCCGCCGTAAATGTCTCGCAGCACCGCCAAACAAGCGCCCCGTCGCCCGACCCCGCCAGTCCGCCCGCGGCCGCCGTGAGCCGCCGGCGCAGCCGCGGATGCAGGCCAACCCGGCACGCCACGATGGTGCAGGAAGTGGCGTCGGGGCTCAGCAGGTACACGCGTTGCGGCCCCGCGGAGCCACTGCGAGGGGAGACGACGGCGAGGCCACACTCGCCCTGCAGCACCGTCGCCAGCGCAGGCGCCGCGCCGTCGAGCAGGAGCATCTCCCGGTAGCCTCCCCCCGGCGGCTCCCCCACGGCGCAGCCGACAGCAGCACCAGTCGATGGCGGCGGGGCCTCCGGGTGCTCGCGCATGTCTGCTGGAAGCGGGTGGAGAAACAGCGACGGGTACGGGAACTCCCTCACCGCCCGCGCCGCATCCGCCTTTGCTGCGTCAAACCACGACGGCGAGGGCGACGACGCGGGGGAGTCACCGGCGCCGGTGGGGCCGCACTCGGCGGACCGCCCCTCCACGTACCGCCTCATTACGTTCTCGGCCAGCAGGACGGCGTGGTCCGCCACGGCCGCGCCCTCCGCCTCTTCCCGCCCCGCCGCCGTGCTCAGCAGGCGGCTCGCCTCGGAAGGCGTGACGTTGCAGAAGGGCATCGGTGGCCCCCAGAACACCGAGGATCTACGTGCTTTCACCCACCCACCCACCCACACACACGCACGCACGCACGCACGCTGCAAGCGCAAGGGCAGGCAAACGCACAGGAAGAGAGAAAATAAAGCAAAAAACAAGTGCATGCAGGAGGAGGAGGAGGAAGAGGGGGGAAAGAGGCGGGCGACAGCAGGCGGACGCAACATCCGATGGGGGGGGGGAGGGCGAACGTCAAGACAAATGAGCAAAAAAGATCACGGAAAAACATAGCGTGACTCAGCGAAGAAAGCCTCAGGAAAGGGCCAGCCGCGCGACTCCCCCCTAACGACGGCGACGGCGGGTCATCGCCTTCTTCTTCTTTTTGGCCTGGAAGATGATGCCATCGTAGGCCTTCTCGAACCACTTCATTGCCTCCTCCTTCTGCACGCGGTGGCAGTGCCCCACGCGGCTCGTCTTGCGCCGGCGGTGCGCCACGCGCTCGCCGCGGCGGCCGAGGACGACGTAGAAGTCCATGCCGTAGATGCCGGTGGAGGGGTCGTACTTGATGCCGAGGTCGATGTGCTCGCTGATGCCGAAGCCGAAGGAGCCCGTGTCGGAGAAGTTGTAGCTCTTCAGCTCGAACTCCTTCACCTTGAGGCCCTTCTCCAGGAGCTCCTCCGCCTTCTTGCCGCGGACGGTGCAGTGGACGGCGATCTTCTCGTTGCGGCGGATGCCGAACGTGCGCACCGTCAGGCGTGCGCGGGAGAGCACCGGGCTCTGCTCGCACAGCTGCTCCAGCACCTTCGAGGCGCGGGTGAGGCGATCGCCCGACTCGCCAACGCAGATGTTGAGGCAGAGCTTCTTCACAACGATCTCCCGCATCGGGTTGGTTGCTTTCTTCTCCACAACGGCCTGCGTCTCCATTGTTGCTAACGAAGACGGCTTTCCCTTGCCCTGGTCACTGCGCAGAGCAGGCAAAGAGCGGGAGGGAGGGGAAGAGGGGGAGGAATGAGCACCACGCCCAGGCAGCGGCGGGCTGGGCGCCGCCGCACACAAACACGCACACACAAACAAACAAACAAAACAAGATCAACTGCGCTCTTGCTTTGCACTTCCTCCACCCTCCCACGCCGGAGGAGGGAAGGGCCAACATGGGTGCAGGAGCCAGCCCGAGGCCCTTCAGAAAAAAAACAGACAAGGCAACATACTTGGCACGTCGCAGCCAAGGAGCCCAACGAGACCCCACACACCTCCCATCCACGCCTCCCGTTCCTCTCGCTCCTCCTCACGAAGTGTCGGGCAGGTGCGCAGACAGCCAGTCGAGCCCCTCAAAAAGTCCGTCGCCGGTGTGCGCGCAGCAACCCTGCACGAACCACTGACGACCGCGCATCGCAGTCCCCAGTCCCGTCGGACTATGGTCGCGGAAGCCCAACTGCTCCACCAGCTCCGCCGGGGTCAGGCGGTGCGGCAGGTCCTGCTTATTGCACAGCACAAGGAGCGTCGCGCCCGCCAGCAGCGGCTCTTGCAGCAGCTTCTCCAGCTCCTGCCGCGCCTCCCCCACCCGTTCCCTGTCGTTGCTGTCGATGACGAAAATGATTGCGTTTGCCCCCTCGTAGTAGTGCTTCCAGAGCGACCGCAGCAGCTTCTGGCCGCCTACGTCCCAGAGGTGGAACTTTATGTTTTTGTACTCCACCGTCTGCACGTTGAAGCCCAGCGTTGGCACCGTCTGCTGCACCTCGTTCAGCTTGAGCTTCCACAGGATGGTCGTCTTTCCCGCCGCGTCGAGGCCCACCATCAGTATCGTCGCGTCCTTCTTGGCAAAGAGGCCATCAAACCAGCTCAAGACCGCGCCCATCGGCGATCGTACACTCCTCCCGCCTTGTGCCGCCCAACTGCACCTTGGCACCGCACAGACCACGGTATCAGGCGGGCGCAGCTGCGCAACAGTCGCCTCGCCTCCTCCCAAACACACACACGCAGTGGATACATGGAAAAACAAGAACACAGCGATCATGCGGCATTACCGTTGGGGCAAAGCGCAGCGGTGCTCTTCTTTGCGCCTGCCCTGCCCTGCCCTGCCCTGCCCTGCCGCCGGGTTTCCGCCGCGCGTGCCGGTGGGCGGGGCGCTCACGCAAGAATACCGACGGCGTCCTCCGCAAACACGTCGGCCACGCCAAACTCGGCCATGAAGCGCAGCCGCTGCCGCCCCACCGCGGCGAAGTCCGGCGGCTCGCAGTGCGGCGTCGTCGAGGACAGGAGGAAGACACCGTCGGGCACGTCGTCCAGCGCGCCGAGGCCCTCCAGCTTCTCCCACGCCCCGCGCCGCACCAAAACGGGCAGGGGGGCGGACGCACGCCGCCGCAAGCACAACGCCACGTACGCCGCGAGGGAGACGTCGCAGGCGCCCTCCGCCGCGGGGGTCGGCCGCAGGCCAAAATACGCCGTCGCCCGCGCCGCCGCCGCCTCCCGGCGCACGCGCAGCTCCCCCCTCCGCTCCA